TTTTAGTCATCGTATCAAAAAACTCACTGTTTGCAGGCGAATATAGCATGCAAGTGTTTAATTGAAGTAAGAAAAATTTACTTGATACAGGAGTTTCCTTGTCTTCTGGATTGGGTTTAAAACTAAAAGGCTACGGAGTTGACCATTAGTAGTCCCAAATGTTGGGTCGGTTGTTCAATGACGGTTATAAAATAAAATAAAAAACTAAGAGGCTCTAAAATGCTTTTGAGCATGGAAGTTATTATATGCTATTGTAAATGCCATGTCAATATCAAAATGCATGTAATATGTTAACTTTCTGTACTTCAAATGCCTACTTTATGGAAAAACTACCCTAACAGCTTGATTTTGGCCTCTTGTGGCAAAAACGCGAACAATGTTATAATTTTAATTTAAATCCTGTGGTCTAAATAATATCTACCGCAAATTTGCATACTATGCGCTATTGCTAAGGGATTGTTAAAATGTGATATAAAATGTAAACATAAAGTACTATTGTGAATGCAAATACAATGTCAAATGTTTAATTACAATTTTCTGAACTTGCTACGCCTATTTTATGCCTCAAAAACGACCTTACATCGCCGCTCTCTAGGTTGAGTTCAGCTCAGCAGTTGACTCACTATTGAGCTTTAAATGACTACCAAATAAAATTATATGGCTACCAAATAATATTAGTTTAAAATCTATATTAATAAACGCATGATTAAAGAGGAGTTTTAAAATTTCATAAAGTGAGAAACATTTCTATAACTAAATGTCAGTTCCATTTGGTAGAAGCTTTATGATACATTTCGAAAGAACAATAAATTATGGAAACATAGACACTTTTCAATGTATTGATTGAATTCCCTCCATATTGAAAGATGAAGAATGTCTGTATTTATCTGTCGCCCGACGAAATGGTGTCCTTTTTGGAAGTACCATAATGTCATGTTAGTCCCATAGAAAAGGAAAAAGATGTGCGTACTTCATACATTTCTGATATATTACAAATTGCATTCATGAATCAAGAACACCAAGTTAATCTCGAGCATGGAAAGAAAATGGATTTTCAAGCTATTGACAAGGATTCCAAATCAGTACGTGATATTTCTATGGGGCTTTAAAGAAATCATGTTTTTTCTATTTATTCGAAATTGCAATAATTTCAACATTTTATTGAGGAATTTTTGTTTAAATCGGCTCGGACAGTTAATAAAAGAATCATTTGTGTTTGGCGTAAGAAAAAATAAAAGAACCTTAAAAAAATTTATTTAAATCTAACACAATCTGTCACTGATAAACGAAACTTTTTAATTTTTTGCATATTACTATCAAATTGTAGAAAAAATATTAGTATAAAATAACGAAGTTGTTATCTATTTGTCTTTAATTACTAAAGTTTATGAAAACCATTGTCATCATAAATGAGCTTTGACATATGTATATATATATATATATATATCTTCCCTAAACTTAATAATGGTAGCAGCTGGAAGGCAAGTTGGGATATTAAGATTAATTGAAGACTGTTTGAAAGGCTATTGATTGATATGGAATTGTTTTGGTATTTATGCTTTGCTATGCAGATTTGGGAGTTATTCAAACACACCTTTGCAATATTTTGGACAAAATATAAACATGTTTCGAAATCGTGTACACGATAACGATGCAAACAAATTTAGTATAGTTGACAGCAATGTACTACTTTGGTATATATTTCTTTAGTATAGTCGGAGAAAATCGTGTAAATATCAACTGTATTAAAAAAAAAAACATAATGGTTAAAATTATGAAAATTAACATCGTGTGTGAAACTTTTGTCTTAATCATTGAATTTTAGTAACTCAACTTAGCACGATCCGCAATTTTTAACAGATTAATAGATTTATATTTATGTTACTCTTGAACAATTCGACAGACATATTTCGAGTATTTTTAATCTCTTAATTCTTGTACGGAGAAAAAAAACTGTGGTCAAAACTACCCGAATATGGTAACTTATACCATATTTCTGACTCTATTGGGACCCCACAAAGAACCAGGGCAAAATTCGGTAATTTTTACCAAAGTGGTAATGATTTAAATAACAATTAACAATAAAATATAATTTCATAATCTGTGATAAAATTTGGCGAAAGTGGAAAATTTTGATAGTTTTGATATGATACCTTAGAGCCTGGCAAAGAAACGATTTGTTTGGTTAAATTTATTTGTCATTATAAGAATAAAAAAAATTACCAAATGAATGGTTTAAATATTGTATATTTTGGTTTCATTAACCAGAGAAAAGTCCTATAGGTTCGCATACCGGATAAGGCATGGATGTTCTTTCATTATTTGTACTATCTGTGCTTATTGTGGGAGCAATGTTGGTCCACCTAAAATGGTGCCCCTGAAAGAGTAGCCAATAAATCTGCCCTACAGATGCATTAGGTAAAAAAAGGTTTCAGTAACCAGAATTTTTTTTTAATAATTTTTATTTTACCAGAAATGTTAATGGGATAAGTATGGTAATTTTACCAGAATTTTTCTTAAGTATGACAATAGCACTTTTGAACTTTAAAAAATCTATTGTTAGATCAAAAGCTTTTTATTGTATTATTTTTTATTATTATTGTTTCTGAAGTATAAATGTTTTATAAAAAAAATATTTGGATTAAAAGAAGCTTTGTTGCAAATTTTAAGCGTTGTTTTAAATAAAAAATATGTTGTTTTCTTAACTAAATATTTTTTATCTTATAGAAAGATAGCATAAAAACTAACTATTTATAAATTATTTATTGATTCAGNTTATGCACAACTGGACTCTTTAATCATGTTGCTCTCAATACTAATTTACTAAAAAATCATATATATATATATATATATATATATATATATACAATAAAGTTAAAATTTATATACTTTTATTATTTTTATTTTTTAACTAGATTTAAGGTTTTAAAAAACCATTTTAAATATTTTTAATATTGTAATGGTTAGCTAATTTTCTTTATTTACACTAAGTAGCATTTTTGGGAAAAAAATCTTTTTAAGGAATTTTGAAACCATCCCACTAAGAGTTCCTGGAACTAAGTGGAACTTTATGACAATATCAAAAAACTTATCACTGAAAGTGCGCAGCCGTGAGAACCACATTGAAAAATTTACAAATCGTCCCACGTAAAGTCAGTAACGTACCTTTAATTAATCAGCAACTTTCAGTTGTGGCTGAATTAAGTTTTTTTAAGTAACATCTTGCCGTGAGATGTGGCTTAGTTAATTTATCTAGAGTGAGAGTATTATACTAGATTTTGTAATTTTAGTTGGTTGGATAGTGATGAGCAAAGCTCTGGTGTTGCCATCTACATTCTTTGAGAGAGTTATGTGTTCCCGTAGTTCCGGTTTTCAAATTTAAGTGTTTGTGAAGAAAAAAGTCCTCATGAATATTAGAATGTTTAGGGTCTAAGTTTGGAGTCAAACCTCCGTTCTACAGATCATGAGAATGGCAGCTCGCACTAACCTTAGCTTAGATTGACAGCTTAGACTTTGCAATTTTGACAAACGTATAAATCCAGTTTCGAAATGGTAAGCGTATTTAGAAGGCTTCACTACAGTATTTAGTAAAATTATCACCAAACGAATTTATCTTGATATCCATAGCTTTATTATTAATGCATGAAAATGTAATATTAAAAAGTAATAAAAATATGTATCGCAAGTACTAACGTAATCAAATAGTCGAGATTAATCAGTAGAGAAGATTTATTGAAGCCCTTCTAGCATATATACAGAATAATTGATATTTCCATGTGAATCATGTGAGGAATTTACCCTTATGAAAAAATCGAGGTATAAATGAGGTATAAACGAGGTATATTTTAAAGGTATAAAGGAGGTTGTTGTTTAAATACGTCGTAAAGGTTGAAAAGGGTGCAAATGAATACCTCAAAATCAACCTCAAATATACCTTAAATATACCTCCAGAGGAACATATGTTTCAGCCTGAAGTATATTTTTTTACACTTGTGGAAGTATTTGTTCAACAACCTAAGGTGTGTCATTTTACACTTCAGGTTATTATAAATCAACCTCAGGTGTATTTTGCTCGACTTCAGGTAATTATTTTTCAACCTCAGGTATCTAATTTTATGCTTGTAGAGGTAGATATTTTTCAACCTATGGTGTGCCATTTTACACTTCAGCTTATTATAAACCTACCTCAGGTGTATTTTGTTCGACATCAGGTAATTGTTTTTCAACTTCAGGTATATAATTTTATGCTTGTAGAGGTATATATTTATCAACCTGTGGTGTGTCGTTTTACACTTCTGGTTGTTATAAATAAACCTCAAATGTATTTTGTTCTACCTCAGGTAATTATTCTTCAACCTCAGGCATATAATTTTATGCTTGTAGAGGTATATATTTTTCAACCTAAGGTGGGCCATTTTACACTTCTGGTTGTTATAAATCAACCTGAAGTGTATTTTCAACAATTGGAAAGGTTATTTTTAATTAGCGCCATGTGTTCCACGTTCTACCTTAAGTTATTACTTCGTAACCTCAAGTATATATTTTTGTATTTTTAGAAGTATTAATTTATCAACCAAAGACGTTTTTTTTTACCACTTACGAAGGTGAGGTGGTATACGGACCACCTAGTTTATTAATTTTTAGACTCACTATATAAAACATATAATATATATGCAAAGATATTATATATATTATATGAAGAATAATGTACATTACATTTTTTTTCACTAGTAGAGATCATTTATCAACCTGAAATTTTTAATATGAAACCTTCGGCAGTAATTGCTTCTTTTGTTAAGCTATAAAAGAAAGTTTCAAATGCATAATTCTTCTATAATTTTAATAGATTGATTTAAATCATCTTAAAATAACACTTATCCAAATTCTACAGTTAGTAAAAATTATTTATGGGAACTCATACTCGTATTTTTAGAAGATAGTTGTCTAAGGTGCTTGAATTTTTAAAGCTATAAAACTACAAATTTAAATAATTAGTCAGCTGAAATTCAAAGTACTTTTATTTAAAACTAAAATTTCACTTTTTTTACAAACCAACAAAATTATTTTAAATACTGTTTCCGTCTACATGTTGAAACTTGTAATTATTGGAACCTAAAAGGAAAAAAAATATAAATTAGTAAGAAAGTCATATTTACAATAATAGTGGCAGGTCTTAAAATATTAGAAAGTATTTTTTTTATCATTTAAATTAACTGGATGAAATTAATTTTCCTTTTCAGATAAATATCTTCTGCCATTTCTATTCAATCCTCGTAGCTAAAAAGCATGACATGTATCACAGCCACAAAATAAAATACACTGAAGACAGTATTACCATTAACAACATTTACAGAAATTCAAATATACAGGGTGTTTATAAAGTCTCGGACCCATTTTGATGTTTAATAACTCATAAAATAATAAAGATAGATTAAAATTAATAACATAAATGGTTAGATAGACTCAAAAACTTTCATGAACCTTGTCAATGAACTTCCACGTGTGCCCCCTTCGTCGCACGGAGAATATCAAGTCGATAGTCAATTTCACGCCAGGTAGCGGCAAGCATGTCGGCATCCACAGAGGCTATTGCGGTTGTAATTCTGGCTTTTAGGCCATCAATGTTCGACACGATCCTCCTGTAAACATTGTCCTTTATAAATCCCCAAAGAAAAAAGTCCAGCGGCGTTATATCAGGTGATCTGGGTGGCCAAGGAATTGGACCTCCTCGCCCAATCCATCTTCCTGTAAAATGGTCATTCAAAGAACTACGAACGATGATACCCCAATGAGGTGGTGCACCATCTTGTTGCAAAAAGACATGTGGCTGAAGCTCTTCTAGTTGTGGAAATACGAAGTTTTCCAACATGTCTAAGTATACGACTGATGAGATTGTCTTTTCTGTAAAAAAGAAAGCTACCTCTCGTGAAATTGACTATCGACTTGATATTCTCCGTGCGACGAAGGGGGCACACGTGGAAGTTCATTGACAAGGGTCATGAAACTTTTTGAGTCTATCTAACCATTAATGTTATTAATTTTAATCTATCTTTATTATTTTATGAGTTATTAAACATCAAAATGGGTCCGGGACTTTATAAACACCCTGTATAATTCCAATCTTATTATGCAATTTTAACACTTTTTATTTTTCTATACATCTGTAACATTATGGTACTTGTAAGTTTAATAATTAGATTTCCTTCCCTTTCTTTTTTAAAAATCTTTAAACTCAATAAACCTAGTCTATATTTTTCAACTTTTTGTCAGACTTCATGAAACTAGCAGCTTTTTTTTAAATTTTTGACGCTGATTCTGAAAAGGACTTATGTTATTGTCAATCACATCAGAGTTTCTTAAAAAATAGTTATTTTAATAATTTTTAATCAATGTAATCAAGAATCTACAATCGTTTAATAAATTAAAATTTTAAAGTTATGTACCAATTTTTATTCTTTTTTTACACTCAATCGAATAGAACAAATTACAAGCTGATAAGGAGCATTTATTTTAAAGTTGTGAGTAATTTTATGTGAGGAAAATGTCTAAGAGAGAATGATTTGAAATAATACTTTTAAAATAAGTTGAGTATAATATCTCCTATATAACTTATAATACCGAGCAGAATAAAACTAATAGTTAGTTGTTACAAACACTTGTTTAAATATAAATACACATCCCATAGGATGAAACTCAAAATAATGCATATTACTTTCAACAATAAATGTTTTTATTTGCAATTGATTTTATTCAATTCAGGATTAAAATTGCATACTATACTGACTTATTTCTAAAATATTTAAGATTTCCGAAATTCGCACATTTTTGAAGTAGTGAACCATAAACAGCTGCATGAAAAAGCTCATAACCTTGAAACAAATTGTCATATAAACTTGAAATCGGATTTAATTTCATTCTGCCCAATATTCTAATAAGTAATAACAATCTGCTTAGTAAATAATTAACGTGGGTAAAATGCGAGAAAATAACATGTAGTGAAAATAGCAGTTTTGTGATCAAACATGAAGAAGTGAGCTAGTACAGTTACTAGTTTTCAATTATCAAATATCTAGCAAACTATTGTTATCAACAATTACATAAATTCTGTAGTTTATTAGGAGAGATTACTTTTTCTTTTAGGTATAAATTCAGAACTATATCCTAGGGGAAGGCTGAGCAGTAGCTTGCTTGTCTCTTCTTCTGCGCCGCCGCGCATGTGCTATTTACAGCCTAGGCCATCTCAGTAATATCAGGGAACTGTGGATAAGCTCTGTAAATATATATATATATATATACACAATAATATAAACTTTGCAACAAATATCCAAACGATAAGCATACAGCTATAGTAGAATTTCAAAGCAAAATTGCTATTTTAAAAATCTTTCAATTTTCAATGATTTATTTATAAGAGAAATTGTGAACATTTTTCTCAATTAATCAGCGTGCATACTGCTACGTTAAAACATATACATTTAAGCAAAATAAAAAGAATAGTTCTATTTGACTGAACTACAAACAATAAAATATACTGTGCATAACCTGCTGTAACGATTCACCAGTAATGTTACCCAAAACAGTGACGAGAAATATTTCGGTTATTCTCTCTTATTGCTAAGCCTACAACGATAGCCTCTAAGAATATCCTCCAACTTAAATTATTTAAGATCAGGACGCGTCGTTAAAACAAAAATAATAAAATTTAAGTTTCAAAATTGAAGCATATTTGATTAAAAGTGATAAAACTAAATTAATAAATGTCAAGCACACTTACCGAATTTCGAATAGACTTTCGATTGTCAACACACACGCCATTTGCCGGCTCGCATGGAACTCTGGGAAGTGAGTTAGTTAATATGAAGTGTACTTTAAGCAACCTTAAAACAAGCTTAGGTATAAATAAAATGACTTCAACACCTCAATAAATACCTCACTCTCTTTAGTTGAAATAAGGTATATTTTTTTATACCTCATAAATACCTCAATATCGTTAGTAGAAAAAAGGTATATTTTTTATACCTCGTAATTACCTCACTCTCGTTAGTTGAAATAAGGTTGATTTTTTTATACCTCATAAATACCTCTTTTGTTACAAGTGTAAGAGAAACAACCTCGTATACCTTAAAAATCATCTTATCAGTCTGGATGATTTGAAGTGAATTTAAAACAACCTCAAAATAAGCTTAGGTATAAATAAAATGACTTCATATACCTCAATAAATACCTTTTTATCGTTAGTTGAAATAAGGTAAAAATTTTTATACCTCAAAAATACCTCTTTTGTTACAAGTGTAAGAAAATAAACCTGGTATACCTTAAAAATCTCCTTATCAGTCTGGTTGATTTGAAGTGAATTTTAAACAACCTCAAAACAAGCTGAAGTATATATAAATCAACCTCGTACACCTTAATTACAACCTTTACGAGGTATAATTTTTATTGCTGTTTTCTCTGCAACCTTAAATATACCTCAAATATACCTCAAAACAACCTTAATACCTCAAAAAATACCTCAAATCAACCTTAAATATACCTTAAATTTTCATAAGGGTAGATACAATTAAATATAAAAAACGAAGTGATATAATGGAATGTTCTTAAAGTCAATTAAGTAATAAATGAAGTTTTAAATTACGCACATGCTTAGAGTTTCTTACATCTCTTGAGTCATCAAATAAGTGGTTTTAGCCCCTCGGCTAAGCGGACATCAAGTCATAATATATAAATTAATTTCGACATGAAGTATTTGTGCTGCCACAAAAAAACTTTAAAATAAAATTGTGAACTTTTTCAAAAAGAAGTATTTTTTGTAGGAATATAAGGAAAAGTCATAAAATCGTGGAATCTTGCTCAAGTCACGCATCGCGTCAAGAATTTCCTTATAGCGTGCAAGTAGTGTTTTAGGTGCTTTATTGATTATAACTTTAAGAATCAATTTTATGATATAATTGCAATATGAGAAGGGGGTAAATTAAATCCCTTTGATTAAAATTTCTTCGAAAGGAATTAAATATTTGAAAAAAGGCTTAACAGTTTTTAATGAATTTAAACTAACAAAAACATTGAAAGGTACTAAAAGGTAATGGTACTCAATGATTTAGGCAAGCAAGGAAAAGTTTCGATGTCAGCTTTACGAGCTCAGGACTTAGTGGAAATTCAAGATGGAGATTACTCTAAGACAAAATGCACTGTGCAAGAGATCAATGAAACCAGATGAGCCATGATTTTCTGAGTGTTCGTTCCTCGATCAAGGCATTTCATTTCATCATATTTTTTTATTTATCGATTGCTTGCAAAACAATAGCTGCCTTGCTTTAAAAATTATTTTACAATTAAATTTACTTTACAATTTAATGTTTTGCTAAGCATTCATTCATTTTATTTGGGCAGTAAGGTATGACTATTTTTTTTCCACAAAGAAAACGGACTAAAGTAAATAATACCCTTGACTTTTCTCCAGGAGTAAGGGCCACTATATTGAGTACAAAGTCTTATAAAACATCTTGTGCACCATGATTAGAAATTTGCTCTCTCTTTTATGGATGAATGCTTCTTAACGTGTATTAAGATCAAGTTTTCCTACTTAAAATTTTTAAAGGTCGTAAAAATGCTTCACTTGATTTCGGGATAAAAAAAAGTATTAAAATTGTTCACTTTTTTTACTGAAGAGCTGCAACAGGACAAATACTTGAAAAAGTGTAAATATGATAGTTGAAGCTAAACATTTTGCAGGGCAAATAGTAAATTCTCATAATCAGACTTCGAAGATGAAATTAGAAAAGTAAAATTAGAAAAAATATTTAATCGAACGTGGAATTTGAAGACTATGCATTCTTGGTAGTTGTTCAAGTGTGTATGTTTTATTCAACTGTCCTTTTTTTAGAAAATGTAGAAATTATATTCAGAGAAAATTAACAAATTTAAAATTTAATAATGTAACATTTTTTCAGTTATCACGCAAAATACTTTTTGTTTAAATCTCTTATAATTTTAAATTTCTGTACAGCTTTTTAGTATTGTGTCTCGCTCCCCAATATTATCGATAATTTTTAAAGCAAAAATTTTCCTAAGCAAGATTGCTTGATATTTTTCATTTGATTTTGTGATATTTTCAAGTATAAAAAGTATTTTTCAGAAACTATGGGTGTTATTTCATTACTTTTAAACTTTTTTTGAATATTTTAAAATATTCGATGTTTCCACGGTTTTGTCCTCCACGCAATGCCTGAAATTAATTAATTTTGGGAAAAAATATGCATATATGACCCTGAGATATCTTAATACCAAATGTGGATGCATAAAATAATTGTATTCTTAACTATAAAAAAGAAACTCAGGTGAAAGTATAATTTTTCTCTTTGCCGAGAAATTACTCTATGCAGCACTTTCACTGCCAGTTGCGTTTTAAAAAGTAATTAGTGATTTATCAATAAACCAAAAAAGACTTCTCTTTAGTATATAAATTTAATATTTGACTGTTTCATATCTTAATAATGAACCGTTTCAGAATCATCGCCTGCCAAGTAAAAGATATTATGTTCAAGAAATAATTTGATACTTTTGGAATGACACTATTGACAGAAAATGTCGGTATAAATTTCCTTTATCGCGTGATCGTTAGTCAGTCTGTCCGTTACTCATATGGGAATATCAGGAAACTTAAGAAGCTTATGAAAGCAAAATAACGACTATTTCTTAATTTGCACCACTCTGAAAATGTGCAAATAGCCATTTTGCACGTATTTGTTGAATTAATATTTTGTTGTTAGCAAGAGAGCATAAAAACATTATAAATTATTCAGAAATTTTTTTTAATGAACAAACTATCCTATTTTATGTGCTACAAATCAGTGTTGCTGCGATCGTAGGACAGTCCGCATCGTTAATCCATAGTTATTATTATTTAAGTCATAAAATGTTGACTATCTAATGTTGCAGTTCACGGTGAATTCCTAGATTGCTATGTTTCTGATAGGAGAAACGTTTTATTTCCATTTTATTTCTAATTAATTTTAATCGTTTGCTATTTGAATCGTTTTATTTCTAATTTATTTTAACCGTTTCCTATTTTCTGTGCTACAAATAAGTGTTGCTACGATCGTAGGACAGTCTGCATCATCAATCCATAGTTATTATTATTTAAATCATATAATGTTTATCACCTTATGTTGCAGTTCATGCTAAATTGCGATGTTTTTGACAGCAGAATCATTTTATTTCCATTTAATTTCATATATATTTTAATCGTTAGCTATTTTAGTTTAATTCATTGGGTCAGTTCTGTTGAGTTCAAATGCATTCAAGTTTTAAGTTCAAATACATAATTTTTAATACATTCATAGCTGAATAATAGTCCTAGTTTATTATTGATATCTTTACTTCACTGGCCCTATTAATTTTATTCAAGAAAACAATATGCTTAAAAAATTTCTTTGAAATGAAGCAAATACATACATTTTTACGCTATAATTTGCTTGAAATAAATATCTCTATGTTAAAAAAAAAAAAAAAAAAAAAAAAAAAAAAAAAAAAAAGCAGTAAGTTTACAAAAACATTAAATAATATTTCTAAATGATTTAACTTGTTGAAACCAAAATTCTTTTCAGTGATTCTCGCATGAAATATACAATCATTTATTTTCCAACTGAAAACTCTAATCGACATGGCAGCGGGCCAAAGTTAGAAATATAAATGGAAATTAATTCTTAGCTTTTTAGAATCAATTTCTTATCATTCATTTAACATACTTCAGCACTTAATATGTGTCTATGAAATTCATTGAATTGCTTATGTATCCGAGTTCTTCGTAGACTAATTAAATTATGAAGTTCGACCTTTTCTTGATAAATCACTTTTTCTACTGTAGGGTAACCGATTATTGTTCTTTAAAAGAATTTAAAAAAAAATGAGTTCAGGAAGGCAGAACGGCTTTGTGGAAGATTTCTTTTCTTTCTTACTAAATAGTTCTGATTGTTATAAAGCTCGAGTTGATGCCAAGTTAATTCGAACTTGATCGATTTCAGTAAAAATGTGTTTTTTGAGAAGAAAAGTAAGTTAAATTCTATTTCTGGTTGTATAAATCTCTTTCGACTATGCACTTACTTTCCCAACTGCGGAAACGTAAAATGTTTTTATTAGTTATTTCTTTCGACTGTTGCGGACAGAAATTCTAGTTATTCTTCTGTTTTTCAAAATAGTCTTACAAAAAATAAAATGGATATAGAAACGGAAAATGTCTTTTTTTTTCTAAATTCGATCAAATGGATTTCAGGTTCCTGTAAATCTTTTTCTTTTGGTGTCCTTTTACCTACTTCCTGCTCTTACATTATTTTTATTTTTTATTTTCTTGCTCTTTTTTTGCTTTTCTTAAAATCATGGAAAATTTGAAGTCATAAAAACAATTTTATGTATTTAGAAATATACATATATGTGATAAGCAATGGCTAACTTTCTTATTTACAAGTGAAAATATGAAAAAAGGAAAAATAACCCTAAGATTAAAAAAAATTATCTAACATAAATTATAAGGCCCGTTACCAAAAATTAAACCTGAGTATGATAGCGCTAAAATTTTATAAAAACTATTGCAAATTGTTAGACTAATAAGGAATACATTTTCTTTTAGGTTTGCTTTTGTCTACATTAAAAAAGCAGTTATTGCCATCAATGTTAGTCGCTACCGTTTCTTGAAATTTTTGTAGCTCGCGACTCTTACTCTATGCAATACTGTGAAAAAGTACGAAATTTTGCAGACTTTTAGACTAGTGTTTTAAGAACATTCTGGCTGGTATAAAAATGTTATTAATGCATACATAAAGTTTCTGAGTATTTTCTTATGTCAAAATGGAAGTTTTTGTTTTCAGCGCTACGCAGTTTAGTTTAGCGAAATCTATTAGCACGGTAATTTATGATTTTTTTTTGAAGTCACATATCTTTCTGAGTATTATTTTGTTTTAATTTCATTTTGATGTAATTAATAAGTTTATATTCCTTTCTTTACGAGTTTAGGATTT